ACAGTTACTAATGAATTTGGAGCTGTCTGGGTCTTACACCCTAAGGAAGTCTCAAGTAAAGAGGTTTTGCAAAAAAAAAATATATAGAACGACAAGTTTAGAAGATCTGTTAAAAACATTATGATGGAGACGGACCTCAATTCACTTACTCAAGAAGGAAGCCCAGGCTCAAGACTTAATATACAAGCAACTGGGGAATTTTTGTTTTGGCCGTTAGAGGCAAGAGAAGAATGGTTTTGGGCATAGGTAATTACTAGAAGGGAGCAACAAGCAGAGGCATTGCGGAGAGAGAAGTGTAAGGAACATTTTGGGAGAGCATATGCTTTTCAAATAAAAAGGAAGCTGAGATGGTTCTAAGAGTGTTGGGAGATCGTAATTACTAGAATGGAGCAACAAGCAGAGGCATTGGAGGCTAGAATGACAAAAACAAAGCATGGAGTAGAAAACCTAGAGAGCAGAATGGATACAATGGGTGATTTACTAGAAGCTATTCAGAAAGAGGTGAATGGACTTAGCAATCACAATAGAAGCAATGCAGTCACAGGCTCCCCTACTTCTAATATCACTAAGATTCGCTCACCAGTGATGAAGATAGCTGAAAGCAATGGAAGATTTGGAGATGGTTTCGGAACTGTGCCTCTCCAATGCACAGGAAGCTGAGATAGTTTTGCTGAGAATGTTGCTATCTTTGATTTCGGCAATCATAGTTTTCTGTCATTTCTAGCTTATCAATGATTTAATAAGTACTCTGGACCTGGTTTCCATACACTGTTTTAGATGAACTTTTAAAGTAACTTAGCATTTCATGAATGAAGATAAACGGGTAAGCAACAATCGACAGCAGGCTGTTTAAATAAATATTGAGGGCAATCAATCATTCTAGTTATAACAAATTAACAGCCACAACAGAAGCAATAGCTAGATGGTAGTGAGAACTGAGAACCAATCCTACTTGCTCCATCAAATTAAATAACATTGTCAATGAAATACTTAAAAATTACAAATAAGTATACTTGGAAGAACCCAGAAGTTATGGAGCATTAGTGGACACTTGAAAATCAAAGGTAAAGCACATCATTTACTCACCAAATAGGAATGGAATACCTGCACTGTTTCGGTTTCAATGCTCAAACTTCGCAGAAGCCTAATCTTGGCAGCTTCAAAGGATAGCATATGAAGCATTCCTTTACCATCCTTGGAATTGATGGAACTGAATTTTTCCTAGTAGGAAAAATTTTCGTTGTAAGCATTTGTTAATGTTGACAGGATACTACCGACAATCCAGCAACCTAAATCACAGACTGCATCAACAATTTAGTAACCTAAAACATCACCTTGTGCACAAACTAAAATTAAAGCAAGTAAAATATATCAGGAGTACCATGGGTTTCCAAAGGGTATCAAATACATTTCAAAGAAAAACAATCATGAATACAGGGAAGGATCAGGAGACTGCTTGGTGAACAAGACAATGCAACAAAAGCTGAAAAATATAGAGTCATGAAACAAATGTAAAATATACTTTAACTTTAAAAAAAAAAAAATGAGGAAAATGAAACATTGACCAAAGTGATTGTTTACTTTAATGTTCAATTGTAAAATTTCCTCAATCTAATGTATTTAGGAATTCTCTAAGACACTAGTTACACATGCCTATGAGGTGTCCAGTTATAAATAAAATTTTCAAAATTGGAAGTAGCATTCTATCAGAAGTACGAGCACATTATGGGCATTGATGCCCATATGTTGGTCACAACTCCCTTTTAAATTTTAGTGCTTCACAGATTTCGGTGTTTACCCTAGCATAAATGGAATGTATATATACTTATTCATATAAAGAAACTTTTTTGGGTATTGATCGCCATAATGAATGGGATATCGTCAATAATCAAGTTTCCAAGGCAAATATTTTAGACACTATAAATAACCAAGAGAACCAAGAGTGAGCTTCAATACTCTAAAAACGTAACCAACATAATAACCACCCCCCACCCTCGGCATTTTGGACCAAAGACATTTGCAGGGACATTTTATTGGACTTATGTCGTTTTTGTTTCTTTTCTCTATATTTTCCCCTTGGTAGCAAGCACAACTTACAGAAAGAGTAAATCAATCAACCATAGATGCATTACGAAATTTGGTGTCCAGTGTCCATATATCCGCAGCTAGAATCCACACATTTACTCATTCTGAAAACAAAGAATTGCTTAAAAATTCGATCGATATTATGTCTTTAGTTGTACCCCACAGTCCTCAGTTCAAATCCTACCAACTTGAAATGCTTATAATTAATTGTTTTTCAACTTCAATGTCAAGCCAGACACCAGGATTAAATACAGATTTAACAATCAACTACAACCAGTTCAAGAAGCCTAAGACGAATAAGAAAGAGGGCATAATCCAAAGTAGTACAGATATCCGACCATACATGTAAAGGCGAAGGGACCAAATGAGTGTGGCGTCTGGTTTCTTCCAAAGCAAAGTCGACGAACTTCCTGTAAGAGACAGAGAAGGTGCGTGCCAAGACTCTTCTGTTCCTCCAGCAGCAAGTAGAACCGCTAGTACTAGTTTTAATTAGTGGTTGGAGTGCTGGTTTAAAGCAGAGAGTTGAGGGGGAAGAGCCAATCTCCATCGAGTAAAGGCTCTGTGAGATTCTGAAGCTTTCGCAGTTTCGCTTCAGAAAATTTGGAAATCGCTATCTTCGACTTTCCTTGATGAAATTACCATTGCAGGGACTGGGGGATGGGCGTCGAAAGGTAAGTTTTCTGGGATTGCGTGGTTCCAGCTTTCAAGTCTGTGCCGCGAAAAAGCTCCTCTGTTGCAGGATTTTTACCCAACATTTTTTTATTATAATTTGAAATTCAAAATAATCCGAACTTCAATAAAAGCCCATTTGCTGGCCTTGGGCTTTTGAAATTATTGGGCCGGCCTGAACAGCTAGAGGCTAGAGCCTTTTCCTTTTTGCGCTTTTAATGCTGACTTGCCTTTTGTTTTTGTGATTTTTTAAAGTTCACATCGGAGGCCCAAAAAAAAAAAAAGCACCATGAAATGAATAAGACAAAATCATAAAAAAAAGTGACATGATTAACAAAGTTTGGGATTCGTATGTGAAAAAAAAAAAAACAAAGTTTGGGGTTAGGTTGATAAGAAAGTCACATATTCATTCAGATCACGAAATACTACCCTGTTATAAATACAATAGTTATATAACTAATTTGTATAGATTAAAAAAATAGTTAAATTATTTGTTAAAATAAGTATAATTTAAATGCATCATAAATTAAATTATGACATAAATATCATAAATTTGTGTCATTGTTTATAATCTATTTAAGATTCACTGACATATTAATAATAAAATTTGCGATAAAATATTTTGTTGCAAAATTGGAATAGGTTGTCCTGCTACTTAGTGGTGGAAAATTCTATTGGTACATTTTGTGGAAAAAGCCTTTTTGAATGGATCAACGACGAAAAATTTTATTAATGATTCTGTCATGGTTATAGAATTAGTGATGGAAGTTCTTTTTATGCAAATTTTATGTCATTAACTTCCAGTTTCTTTTGTAATGAATGCAGAAAGAAAGAGTGACACCTAACAAAAGCAAGACACAAAAGGAAATTGAAGGAAAAGAGAAGGCTAATCAAATCAAATTAAATTCATAAACTCAATTGTATTAATTAATACTATCACATGACTTGTACAAACTCATTTCAAACTCTTTTCTATGATCCTTTTTTGTTGCTCCGTCCAGATCTGTTTTTGCTGCTCTAAACTTAGTTTTTGCATTGATTTGTCAAGGGCATCCTCATTATTTGTCAATGATGAACTAGGCCATAATGATCCAAACGGATCATTTTCCTTTGCTGCTCCCAATAAAGGTTCATTAGAAACCTTGACACGAAATGTCGGTTCAGCCATTGTGTCCAGAAAATTTTGCTCCCAAAAAGTTGATTGAACCATATCTTCATTATTAGGATTCCTTGCAACAATGGTTGGTGTTGCTTCTACCATTGAAAGATTATTATTTTGAATTCTAAATGTTGGACTTGGTGTTGTGCTGGTGGTCTGATATGTATTATGGGTCTGAAAGTTTGGCATTGTGTTTGTTTGATATGAATTATGGGTCTCAAAAATTGGTTCCTTGCTCATCTGCCATGAATCATTGCTATAAGAGGATGGCATTGTGCTTGTCAAATATGAATTATAGGCATGAAAAGCTGATTCTGAATTCGTTTGAGATGAACTATGACCATGAAAAATTGGTCTACTACTTGTCTGAAATGAATTATTATTACCTTGAAAAATTGGTTCTATGCTCACTTGGTTCGGAAATTGGGTATGAAAAGTTGGTTCTATGCTTGCCTGGTAAGAAGTATGTCTTTGGAAAGGTTGTTCATTGCTTGTCTGGTAAGAATTAATGCTATCAGAGGTTGGTGTTGTGCCCATCATGTAAGAATTATGGTTTTGAAAAGGTGACTCTAAGCTTGTTTGATATGAATTGTGGCCATAAAATTTTGGTGCAATGCTTAAATGACATGACTCGTGACTTGGAGAGGAGGATGCTAAATTGATCTTAAATGAATTAGGGGAACTCAATGTTGGTGTTGTACTTGTCCAGTATGAATCATAGCCTTGAAAACTTGATGTTGAACCATTCTTGGATGAATTTTGAGAGTTGAAGGCTGGTACTATGCTCATTTGAGATGAATTGTGACCTTGAGAAGTTGATGTTGGACTAAGCTTAAATGAACTTTGAGAAGTAAAGGTTGGTCTTGTTCTAGGTTGATATGAATCACCATGGCCTTGAGAAGTAGTTGATGTTGAACCAAACTTGAATGAATTTTGAGAATCGAAATTTGGTCTTGTACTCATCTATGAATCATGGCCATCAAAACTTGATGTTGAACTATTGTTGAACAAATTTTGAGAGCTGAATGTTGGTGCTGTGCTCGTTTGATGATGGGAATCATGGCCTTGATAGGGTGATAATGTTGAGCTAAGCTTGAATGAACCTTGAGAAGAAAAGGTTGGTGCTGTTCTGGTTTGATGAACCATCATGGCTTTGAGAAGTTGATGTTGAACCAAACTTGAATGAGTTTTGAGAACTGAAAGTTGGTCTTGTAATCATCTGATATGCATCATGATCACCTTGAAAAGATGATATTGAACTAATCTTAAACAAATCTTGAGAATTAAAAGTTGGTGCCATACTTGTTTGATACAACTCATAACTTTGGGATGCTAATGCTGAATTGGTCATGAATGGAACTTGAGAAGGAAAGATTGATGTTTTTCTTCCACAAGTTGAATTTGGACTAATCTTGAATGAACCTTGAGAATGAAAGATTGAAGTAGAATTCATCCCACGATTATTTTCTTGAGAAGAAGGTACCAAAGCCATGCTATTCTCCGTAAGATCTTCCAAACTAGAGCTCGTTGGCATTGCACATGAAGTGTTTGAATTCAAGTCACCCAAAGTTGATGTCAAATCCACGTCAAAACTAGAACTTTGAGCAGTGAAGTTTGGTACCATTACTGTTTGATCACTAGGATTTTGATTCACATCAAAGATATCAATTAAACTTGTCTGTGTTTGATCTATAGCATTGGTAAAAGGAGAAACAGTTGTATCATCCAATTCCAGAAAAGGATTGTACTGTTGATGAGGCACTACTGAATCAGATTGATTAAGCAAAGAAACAATGGCATTATTATAATCTGCTGGTGCTTTCTCTGTTGTAGTGCTAGTTGCTGTCTCTGCGAAAACTAACTCCCAGCAATCTTGGGACACATTACCATTAGTATTATTATTACTTACAAAAATATTTTCATGTTTTTCTTTGTCTCCTTCGTTTTGCACATCATCAAGACTGACAAGGTCTAAACTTGACCCCGTTGCTTGATCATTAGTATAAGAATGGTTCGAACATGGCTCATAAGCACTAGATGAATCATCATTTTTATCTGATTGCTTCTCATCTTCTTGATCATCACCATAATCTATCTCAAATCTCCTTGGTGTCAAAATCCCAGCATCAGTAGCAATCATTAAATCCTCCAAAGATGTACAATGAGATGATGCATTTTCAGACGCTGTCTTAAAGGAACTCTCTGGTGTCCCATATCTCTCATACCCTTCAAAATGAACTCCTGAACTTTCCCTTAATGCAGAAACAAACAAGTGTTTTGAGAGGGGTGAGTACTGTGAAGAAGAAGAAGAAGATTGAGCACGATGATGATTGTGATCACTGAGATTAATGTTAGTGCTACTTGTTGCTTGGTCCTTTAAGAACTCTTGCAAAGTCTCCATGAGTTCTTCTGATATTTTCTGTACTTTCGGATACTCACTGCTCCTACCAACCCCAATGCTTAAACAAAATGAATAAAAATCACTTAACTCATCAAACTGCTTGCAAGATTTCACGCAGGCTTGAAATGCAGAGACACATGCCTTGTATGGTAATTTGAAGAAGCTATCTAGAATAACAGAAAGACCATTAGAGATATCCCTATAGAGATCAAAAGTCTCCTGAACGACAGCGTATAGAGAGATTTGAACCAAATGATTTGTTTTGGCTTCCCCAGTTGGTCTGGTCCCCATAGCTCTGTCCAACAAGCGTTGGCAAAAAGTAATCTTGTCAAGAAGCATTGATGGCTTCATGTCTTTGATTATTCCCGCAGTATCGTTGAACATCTTGTGATTCTTGAAAGGGTTTTGATGATTCTTGAAGGTGATTCTTTGTTGAAGCTTCCCTGTTAGGAAGCAATCTAAGCGCTCATCAAGATACAGAGCCATTAATCTAACAAAAGCAGTGAATTCCCATGGACTAGAACTTGAATCATCTCTAAATCCTGAAAGATTCAGGATTCTTGAGCCTCGTCTCATTGCATGCAAGATTTCTCTAGGAAAATATGGATCACCATCCTGGAAAATTCTGAGAATGATCATGAGAGATTTCAAGGCGACCACCCAATTTCTTGTTTTCCCAATACGTTTGCCAATAGATTGGGCACATACAGCTGCATAAACTTTGTTGGATGATATGAGACTCACAATTTCATTAACATAACGTCCTTCAATGGGAATCTCATCATGTGTTGTGGCTTTGAGGATGACGACTTCAAGATTTGCTGCATTTGTTACCTTGGCGAGACTTAGGCTAGTTTGATCTTTTACTGCACCAATGGCCTTTCTAGGTTTGCTTGGCATGTTTCTAGTCTATAATTCAGATTGATTTTGCAGTAATAACTTTGCTTTTGCCTTCAGATTTGACTTCTGGGCATGATGTGTTTTTGAGCTTTCAAGGGAGGGGAAGATACTCGAAAAAATTTTACTGATCATTTGCATGCTGCTTTAAAACGCAAAGGATTAAGAACTTTTCGAGATGAGGAAGAACTTGAAAGGGGAGATTATTTTGATCCAGGTTTAGTACAAGCAATTGATGAATCTCGTTCTGCAATTGTGGTGTTCTCCCCAAATTATGTTTCTTCAACTTGGTGTTTGGATGAGCTTCAAAAGATCCTGCAATTAAAGGAAGAGTCGAGGCTTCAAGTATTTCCAATATTTTACCATGTAGATCCCTCTGATGTTAGGAAACAAAAGGGATGTTTTGCAGAGGCATTCGTAAAGCATGAAAAAAGATTTGTACAAGACAAAATGAGGGTGCGAAAATGGAGGAATGCTCTAGGCTTTGTTTGGTTTAACAGAAGAGAGGGGAGGGGAGGTTAATTAAGGGCCCGTTTGGTACGCTGGAATTGGAGCAGGTGGATATGGAAATGGAATTCAATTCCATCACAAAGTTTGTTTAGTACAAAAAGAAGGCATGGAAATGGGCTCCATGTGGAAGCCAAATTGATGGAATTGGCTTCCATCACACAACTGATGGAATTGTAAACAATTCCATGGAATTCTCCTTTTACCCCTTTCTATCATCTCCTTCTGCAAAACATTCACCCTCCTTGTTTTTGCTGGCGAATGATGATGGCGGCAGCCACCTTCGGCAACGGCAACGGAAACGGCAGCCACCTTCGGCAATGGCAACGGCGGCCAGATGCAAGCAACGCCTACTTTCTCCCTTCAAGCTTCTGCCATGATGATGGTTAACGATCCGGTGGCTTTGATCTTGTCTGCCGCCACCCTCATCTCCTTCCCTCATGCTTGATGGCTTCACTCGGTGGTGTAAAAGTTTCTAGATCTACATAATCCAGGACTGGAAACTTGTTAAAGCCTTCGACTTTTTCTTTCAATGTCTTAAATCTACCTCCTTTCAATTTGCATCTAACTACTTGTCGGCGAAGATGAGCCTCGAGTTTTTCACGAAGATTTGCTTATTAAGAACCAAATATTTTGGTTCTAGTTCTGCATATTCAATTCAATAGATTCTATGGTCATAGGAGCCTTTTGCTTCTGATGCATAAGAAAGGAATATAGAGGCGCCTTTCAACTTCTTCTTCCATTCGAATATTGGCATTTTTTTTTGGTTCCATTTTATTTTCAGATTTGGTTCTCAACTGATTGTGGTGGCTAACGGTGGCGTTAGCGGCTGGGGTTGAAGTTGAGGTGGGTTGTTGTACTGTTAGGTCCTTAAGATTGAAAAATATATCAAGGGCAGTATAGTCTTTTAATACAAAAGGTACTCATTTTAATTAAAAAATTATATATCATTTCCACGACATACCAAACACATTCTTAAACCTCATTTCCATATATATTTCTATTTCCATATCCATCTCCATCTCCATTTCCATTTCCATCAAAACTAATTCCAGCGTACCAAACGGGCCCTAAAGGAAGGGGAGAGGAGGGAAAAGGAGGTCATGGTTTTGTTTGGTTGGAAGGGAAGGGAAAAGAGGGGAGATTTCTTGTTTGGTTCATGAGAGGAGGGGAGGGGAGGTAATTATAAATTGACAAATATGCTCTTATCTCTATATTTAGACTGATTTATTTTTTATTACAATATTTATATCAAAATTATTATTTCTTGATTTATCAATTTTTTTAAAAAAAGCCAATTACCTCACTTACATGTGATAAAAAAATGATAAAACTAAAAAAAAATTAGAAAATATGATAAAAAGTTTAACATTCTATCTCATTAATTTTATAAATATATGTATTAATGTATATGATATGTATATATTATATAATTATAATATGCACATGATGATATGTATATATTAATATATATGCATGTTATCTGAGATTACAATACATACATGCTATGATATATAATTATAATACACACATGTTATGATATGTATATGTTAATATATATGATATGTATATATTCTATAGTTATAATATTATATTATCATTATCAAATATTATTAGTGGCTAAAAAGAGAAAGAAGTGAAAAAAAGACTTTTAATAAGATGGACAAACTTGGAATATTGAAAAGTTGGTATGGGTAGTTTGGTCAAAATTAGACATAATATTTCTCTTCCCCTCAAGAAAATCTCAAATTTGGAGCGGAGGATGGGGAGGGGAGGGGAGGGGAGCACTAAAAGACAAATTTCTTCCCTCTCCCCTCTATTTTTTTCAACCAAACATGTTTATCTCCTCCCCTCCCCTCCCCTCAACAACCCTCCCACCAAACAGAGCCTTAGAAAAAGTTGCTACTATATCTTGTTGGGACTCAAAATTGGTAATTACTTTTCTCTCAATAACAATCTTTTATTTTTATTTTGTTGAAAATAAGGGTGTTGATATTCAACTAAACTTTAGTGTTCATTTATTTGCTAGCAAAATTAATAGACTTGTAGTGCTATTGTTTATATTTATTGTTGACGAAATAGGTTTCTCAATTGAATTCAATCAATGATAGCATTTTGATATGGTCATTTTTCTTTAGCGTATCAAGCAGGTCTGTTGACCTTTAGTAAAATTACATAATATAATTATTGTGTAATTCAATAGTTAAAAATTAATATGAATAATTCCTCTGTATTTTGAAATTTCATTATTTATTTTTGTCCAAAAGAAAACTTTCATTGTTTATTTATTAATAATCAATAATATCTTTTTTTTTTTACGGTTGGAAATGTTACCATAGAGCGTTACATATTGAACTTTTAATCTGATGTTGTTCCTTAAATAAAACAAAGAAAAACTACTCAAGGGTCAACTATAAAACATATTACCAAAAGAAGTGAACTCCAACAATCATCTGTTTACGTTAATATAATTAAATGACTTCAATATTTAGGAGTTCGCAAAGTGTGTGTACACACACACAATGGTAGCAATCTTCTTTCTTAATCTCTTTTGCATCAAGACTAGACTATACCGTAGCTTCTCAGCCTCTGTGCCTGTACTAGAAGCTCTGCGCAACTCTTCAATAATGAAATTATTTTCATGTCGGTAAAATTTTATTTTCCTATGCAGGCGTGAAACGGAATTCATTGAAACCATTGCTGAAGAAATCATGTCAAAGTTACTTGATGATGAACTGCCATCTGACCTTGGTATGTTAATTGGAATTCAACCAAAACTAGATGGATTAGAGTCAATCATCGCAAAGAAATTGGGAGGAGTTGGGTTTATAGGAATACGGGGTGCAGGAGGCATAGGCAAAACAGCTCTTGCTAGAGCTTTTTATGAGTGAAAGCTCAAAAACTTTGAGATTCACTGCTTTCTTCATAATATTAGAGAGGCATATGAAAAAGAAGGTTGATTTCATTGCAAAGAAGACTTCTTTTTTCTTTAGAGAAAATAAGTATGGAAGTGTGTGATTGTTGTGAAGGAAATGAAGTTGATAAAAAACATGTTGCGCAACAGAAAAGTTCTACTTGTCCTTGATGATGTGAGTGACATTAGCCAACTCGAAAATTTGGCTCCAAAGCAAGAATGGTTCAGCAAAGGGAGTAGAATAATAATAACAACCAGGGACAAGCATTTGCTATCCTCACATGGTGTATCTACTACGTATATGTGAAATTCTTGAGTGATAATGAGTCCCTTGAACTTTTCCTTCAAAAAGCCTTTAAAGGAGATAAACCTAATCAAGATTATTTGAACCTTGCTAGAACCGTCATTGAATATGCTAGAGGCCTTCCTTTAGCACTCAAAGTGTTATGTTCATTTCTTTGCAAAAGAACTATAGTGCAATGGAAACATGCACTGGCTAAGTTCAAGAAAGTTCCCCCAAATGACAATTTAAAGATACGTCAAGTAAGTTTTGATGGATTAGACATTACAAAAAAGACTCTATTCTTGGATATTGCTTGCTTTTTCAATGGAATGATCCAAGATCATGTCATCCAAATTCTAGAAATTCTGGACAATGATCTTCACCCAAAAATTGGAATAGATTTTCTTATTGAGAAATCCTTAGTAATTAATTATGAAGGGCATTTGTGGGTGCATGAAATTCTTCAAAATATGGGAAAATATATTGTCTACGAAAAATCACCTGATGATGCCGGCAAGCGTTCTACGTTATTGTCCTTGTAGGATGCCAATCATGTATTAGAAAACAATAAGGTGACATTCCAAAGTTCTTGTGTTTTTGCACTATTTTTATAACAATTTATTCCATGACTTTTATATATTTTTACCTTGACTTGTTTTATAGGGGACAGAAGCTATTCAGGGAATAATTCTCACATTAGAAAAGTCATGTGATGCCTTTTGGGATCCTGAAGCCTTCTAAAAAATGAGTAATCTCAAGTTACTTATCATTTCAAATTGCTCACATGTTTTACATTTTCAATTGAATCTTCCTTATGGACTCAAGTCCGTTTCCAAAGAGTTAAAAGTGATAGTATGGGAGGGGTATCCATTATTTTATTTGCCAAGTCAACCTCAACTCCATCAACTTGTCGGACTAATAATGCGACATAGCAAGTTAAAAGAACTTTGGAGCGGAAGGCTGTTAATTATAGCCCTTCCATTTAAATTATTTGTGCATAATTCAATAACTTCTAATTGTAATTAGTTTTTGGTTTTTGAGGCCTTAATGTTTCCCTTTCTTTTGGTGTTAGTCTCTCCAAAGCCTCAAGTTCATTGATCTTTCTTATTCAGAGTACCTCATCAAAACCTCAAATTTTGATGGAATTCCTCATTTTGAAAAATTGATTCTTGAAGGGTGTTCTAACTTGATTGAAATTCACCGATCTCTTGGACAACACAAGAAACTTGCCATTGTTAGCTTGAAAAATTGCAGAAAGGTTAAAAACCTTCCAAGGAAATTTGAGATGAATTGCTTAGA